CTCTCATTTGGGTCTGTTACTGTGCAAGGTTTCATTCCTGGCTCGTTGGAAGAAGTTAACACGTGATACTAGCAGATCCATTGCAGCCTGCCAGGAATGACTCTTCTGACATCAGGAACCAATCTTCCTGCTATTTGGTGTGACTTTACATGCTATATATTTCAAAATGGCACTGAAACTGGACAACAAATAGAGGTCTGGGAAATGATTTTCAAAAGCCCCACTTCTGTTTTCATTAACAAAACCATGCCAACAGCATCATACCTGGGATCATTTAGGATCATTTTGGCTCATGTTTTCTGAATATACGATGACTTTAAGCACTACAGAACTTGTGTAGCTCTTCATCAAGTTTCATGTCACATCACACTCTAGTCTATGTTTGCACGGAGGTGTTTGAGCTTGGGATGACTGAGAATGGTTTGTAGATAACCAGTGGCTTGGAGGTAGCATATTTGTGTGTATTACGGGGTCATCCTTGCCCTGTGGCCAGGGCCAGCAGAAGACCTGTGCAGTGAACTCTACAGAGGTTCCAGATTGAGAAGCCAGGTAGCATTTGGCTTTGCAGACTTTATTCTCTTCCCCTCATTGAGCATTTTCAGAAGTAGATCAGGTAAAATAACTTCTGTTCTTTTTTTTTTTTTTTTTTTTAATTCCAGTTTTTGGCAGCCCAAACTTTCTGAACTCCAGCCTAAAGCCCATTCTTTAATTTTCTTTCCAGTCCCCTGTGTACATTTGTCCTCAAACCTTTAAGTGTAAACAGATAAAACATATTAGCTGACATATGCTGACATATTAGCATATTTTTGCAATTACAGCTGCTCTGTGTTTCATAAGCTGGGAACATCCCACAGAGAATAAGGCTGCTCATCAACTAGCCTTGCAGTTCTTAGTGGATCTGGAGATGGTGCTAAAATCTGTGGAAATCATCTTAGTTCTCATTCTGCGATTTCTCTGCAGCTTAAGTTCACTGAGGCTGCACTTGTAATTAATGTACTGCAATAAACATGTCTGGAGGGCAATATTTCTCGCCTAACTTAGACATTATATCTTTGGATTACTTGAATCGTCTTTTGATATTGCCTGCTTCTCTCCATTAGCTGTAAAGTCATGCTGGTGTAGTAGTAAATGATTGATTTTAAACACCTAACTGAGAAATGAATTGTCCCAGTGTAGAGTAGGCACAACATTGGGAATAGGCATAGGAATATTGCACCTAAACTTGGAGACAAAATAGGCACCCTTCTCACTTTTGAGTCCACATCAGGATAAACAGCAGATTCCCAATTTCTTCTTCTTTGAAGACTTCAGACTGTGATGGCTCCAGTGGAGAAAGGGGCAGCAGAGCTGAGTACCATTCTCATGGCAGTGACACCCAATAGCACCCGTATCCAGATGCACGTACAGGTGCTCAGATCTTATCAGAGCACAGCACAGCCATGCTGACAAGGACACAGAGCTGGGCACAGGTCTGTGCTCCACCATTTACCCTGCTAATTGGGTGTATTGTGCAGCCTGCTCTTGCTGAGTGTGTCATGTTGTGGGCACACGTCCAGCACACCAGGTAGGACTTGCATGCCTATACAAACTAGACTTGTTTGCACAATGTGCAAAGCTGTTGGCAGACTATTCTTCTGTGGTTTGGATTGACATGTGGGTGTACTGGACAACTAAACATTGCAACACCAAAATTCTGGGAGTGGCACAGGTAAAACCCAGTAGTATTTCACCTGTGCACAGTGTGGTAAGTATCAGGTAGTTAGCAGCAGTAGCTGATAACAGTGGTTCCTGCAGCATCCAGAGATCTGATTCATGGCTAGAAGCCAAAATGTAAGCAAAACAAAACAGGGGAAAAATACTGGCTTATTTTGCTCATCCTGTGTTTGACAGCTTACTACTTGTGTGTGAAATGCTTCTTTTTCTATAACATAACAGCCTCAAGGGTTGGTGTGATTGCTATTGCTGGCTCACAACAACAGCTCATTATACATCTGCTGAGCAGCCCAAGACGACTAAAATAAATCCTGTATGTCTGGACTACAAACAGCATACATGCTGTAGGCATGTTACACTCTAGCTGATCTACCTTTGTGTATTATATCCTTTGTATAATGCACTCAAATATTAGAATTTGAAGATCACTGTAAAAGTGATCAGATTGTAGGAGTAGTAATAGCCATAAGGAAAAATAGATCATGAAAGTTTCTTCAGGGTTGGGTTGCATGCTTTTATGCACCAGAGACAGATCAGTATTATTTATAAGAGAAAAGAACAAGGAGCACAGCAAAAGAGAGTGGATTACTGAGAGCTTTATCACCCAAAACAGTGCTCTGAACAGGTAGAAAAGCTGTTAATTTGGTTAAAAGTATTTGGTCAGGTTAAGAGGTGGGGAACTTGCAGTGTTTACTTAGATGGACCATTGGGAAAACAAACACATTTTCTCCTAATTTACTAAAAAAAGATCATAAAAACCAAAGGATTTGAAACAGAGAATTAAAACCTAACCTTGCTCTTTACAGTAATATGAGAAATCCTGTCAGTGTTCTTTCCCAGCCATAATCAGCTGTATACTTCTCACTGCCTGTCTCCTCAAAGTACATCCATGGTCAGCACTATGGCTTGGGAGCAAAATACCTTGTGATCGGTACATTCCTTCCAAATACCGGCACGCCAATGAAATGTCAGCACACAGAGCTACAGGCTGCGGCCATCTCTGCTTGCTCAGGCAGCGGGACTGGTGCAGGGGTGGGGATGGCTGGAGGATCCCACCTGGCACAGTGGGTGCGTGAGCAGCATTTGCTGTGTGCAGCAGCACAGAAGCAGCTTAACTTTACTGATGGCATCCGTTGCTTCTGATCTGGATTAAGAGAGTCACAGGCTGCTTGTAGGAACGTTATAGAAAAGATGTTTAATTTACGAATCTTGGCTAACCTAAGAATAACCCATCTCATTAAAGGTCGTGGTGTGTGCCACCCAATTCTCCAGGAAATAAACCGTTTTTAAAAAAGCATATTAAACACTGAGCGAAGCCTCAAAGGCGTGTTCTGAAATTCCAGACACTGGCAGAGGGAAGGAATCAAGAAGTCCACAGTAGACAGCCTTTATGATTTGCTTTGGTAGGTGCGAGTTAGCACATTTCTTTGTGCCAGCATTCAATGTGACCCTGATGCTCAAGGTGAAACCCCATAATGCTTCTGTCCAATTAGGACTAACAGAGCAAAAATGAGAAGTCCATGCCTCTGCAGCCAAGATGCATCTGATCTCTTGAGTTTAAAACCTTTCTTGTTGTTGGTATTCAGGAATGCAAATACACAGATTTTATTTGTAACTTGGTACTTCTGTGCCTGCAAAAACTGCAAGCGGCCGACCTTAACTTTCTGATGTCAAAGTATCCCTTATGTAGGGTTTCCAGTGAATGCTTACAAGGATTTCATCTTCCCCAAGGCGTGCTGTCTCCTTCCTAGGTGCTCTAGCTCAACTTCTGGGCTGAGACACACGTAAGTGATAACTGTGATTATCCCTGGAGTATAACAATACGTGCATCAGCAGAGCATGCAGTTCTGCTGTCAAGGCGTGTTTTGCTGCAGGAAAAAAAACCCTTTGAACACCCTTGAAGGTCGTGCTGTGAATGACTAACTGCCTTTTACTGAGCAGTTAATGGAGCTTGGCCAAAGCACTTCAGGTGCTTTTGGTCATACATCCACATTGTTGCATTTCAAATAGACTCACAGTAAATCTTCATTTGCCTGGGAAATTTTGAGATCCTTTCCGTGCTATTTCAGTGTTGCTATTTTCATGCTTTGTCCTAAAGGCAAAGAGTGTTCCTGGCAGTTTGGTAATGGCATGCCTTTAAGGACAGCGCCGGGATCAAGTAAGCACAAGTACAAGGCAGCAGCAAACCAACTGATTCTGCAGATGTTGAGCCAGATTTCTCAAAACCAGACAGTAGACAGATCCAGCAAAGCACATACAGCACTTGTGAGAAAAGCAGATTGTAGATCCCCCACACAACTATAAAAATGACAAGTCTGAACAGTGATGGAAGTAAAGTAGAATTCTGAGCTCTGGCATAACGCAGGCAGCCTACTATCCACCACAGACTTGTGGTCCTCCTTGCACCAGTCACTGGTATCTCCATGGTAGGAGTAAAGTCTGTGCTGGTGTCTCTGCATACATTATAATATCATAAAATGTTTAAGAACCAGCCTCTGTGAGCACCTATTTCTATTGTCTCATGTAAGAGACTGCCCTGCTCCTGCCCAGTATGCAGAGTGGGCAGTGCTTAGCCACACATATGGAATGCCTGCAAAGAGTAGCATGGCTTAAAAGGCTCATCAAGGGCTTAGCAAGCTGTAATGTCTTTAATCTGTTTTCTTTTTCAAACTCATCATATGGCTTCAAGTCACTTTACAACTCAGTTTCTTCTGAGCTACAGATAATATTAATCTGCCTTCTTAATACTTCCTGCACTAATAGTCCTGCTATTACTATGAAGATATAATAAAGCAATCAAAAATACTGAATTAACCCCATGGTATCACTCACTGAAATACAGATAAACTCTTGTAGAGCCCTCCATTAATCGCACCCTTCAAACTGCAAGTTTTTCCCACCCTTATTTATGCACTTTAAGAATCAAATTGGTCTTAGAGAGAGGAACCGTGAAGTTTAAGCATTAAAACACAACTCAGGATCTTTCCCAGCGTTCTGTCACATCTCAAAGGTTCAGTGCACAACCTGTAACACTCAGCATCCCACCCATACAGCAGTTGCAAATTTCCACTGGGACTGAACCCATCTTGAGGCGCGTGAGTTCACAACATCCTGCAATCATGGAATTTGATTTTGTTTTTTTGTCTGCTACTTCAGCAATGAGAATGGCAGGAAATGGAATATCAGTGCACTTCAGGGGAGGGAATGAAGTGTCAGTGTTTTCCAGAGCAATACATAAAATAGACATGGTGTCAAAAACAAGAACAAAGGGCAGGCTTTAATAGTTGTTCATTTTACCTCTTTTCAATAGCTCTTTATTTGTAGTAGTGCAGGTACACACGAAAGGCCATTCCTGAGCCTGATGAATACAAGTCTCAGAATTTAAGCACAATCATGGGATTCCCTATACATCCTTTAGGGCACATTAATTAGCATGAATTGCCAGTTACCAAATGAAAATTAATTTCCTCTGCTAATGCTGTGCTCTGCAACACTCACTTGGAACACTGCATCTCACTTTCATGTAACACGTGCTACTCAAATGGTGTGTAATCCTTGCAGACAGCATTGTGAAAATGTTCAATTTGTGTCCATTGATACAGAAGTCAAACTTACTGCGAGTCCACATCGTTTATTGAAATTGCATATGCAATTAAATCCTAGAAAGTATTAAAACTTTTGTTGTCCTAATTACATATTATTTCATTATTCAGTAATGCAAGTCCCAGATTCTAGCTCTCTTGTTAATATAGAGACCCAATAAATGCACTTCTGAAATTAAGTTGTAGCACATTTTTTATTAAACATTTTCTCAGCTTATACTTTGAACATAAATATGTTCTTTTATGGCTCATGTTACAAAAGACCCTACTATATGTTAGAAAACATATACAGAATATATCGTAGTGGTTACACTTTCTCCCCCTTTTCCCTAAAGTCTTCCATAAATTCTACAAATCTAGCAAAGCAGTACCAGAAAGCAAAATCCAATCTACCCAGCAGCAGTCAGAAATAGCTATAAAGTTTACTTGCTTGCTGTAAGAGAAACTTTGGTTCCTGTCTGCTTTTACTGCAAGGCAATACCTTATCATGGAAGCTATGTATCAGAAAACAAGCATTGCACGTCATGCTCCATCACTGAAGGTGTACTTCAATTCATATTTCCAAAGGTATACATCTTATCTTTGTTTTTTCCACTTGGTAAGACAAATACATATCTTTACTTTCAAAGCAGTATAGTGTAAATGAAGGACCTATTTCTGTTCTTACTGAAGTCAGTGGCAAAACATCAATGGACTTTCTGAAGAGCAGATTTGTATTTTGTTTCTCCTGTTCTCTTGACTAAAGTGAAGAAAGCTACATTTCAGCTGGAAGGTAGGATGAATATCACTGAGAATTTTAAAACTCTTATGCCTCATTGCTAGCACCTCCTGTAATAACTCCACACGTGGGTTTCCAGCTTATTACATGGGGTCTTGGCTTACCATTCTTAATGATAAAGACCCATGAAAAAGTGAGCATAATCTTCCAGCCCCAAAAGTATGGACATGGAAGCCCACACCTGAGGAGCATGCAGAATCACACCTGTGGTCTTTCTGCTCTAGTGTAGCAAAGAGACATCAGGTTATATAGGCTTTATATGCAGGAGAGGCTTTATACACAGCTCACACTGTACAATTTAGTATTTCCACACAGTGGGCAAAGATAAACCCCCAGGGCCTATGGAAGAATGTAGAAAGCGCAGCTGGTCTTGAATCCTCAGGCAAGGTAGACCAGGCACAAGGACAAGAAGAAGAGGAAAACTTTGGGGAAATGTTGCTGGCAGCCTGCCTTAGAGACACTGCTTTTTATTTCACAGGGACTGATGCCGACACCAAGTCCATATCAATGCTGGGAGCACCCAGCTGACATGGTAAGAATCGTGGTGAAAGACACAGAATAAAACCACAAAGCAGTAAGGAAAACTCTAGACCTACAATCCAATCTAACAAAAGTTCTTTGTGACTTACTGGAGTTTGTGCTGTTATGGCTCAAGCTGCCTTTTCTGATAAGGATGTAGGATGTGAGCTGAGCTCCTGGAAAGAAATGTAGGTGTGTATCTGTTGAATTGTCTGTTTTGGTGGCAGCAGGAGAAGGTTTGCTGCAGTAGCATTCCCTCTGTCCTGGTTGTGTGCCATGTGGCAGCAAGGCAGGACACCACCTTACTGCAGCACTCCAAACTCAGTGAGTCAGCCCATTCACTGACTTTGGTGTTGGCTTGATACAGATTCACTTTTCAGAGCAGACCGAAAATTTAGAGTACATTTATAATTTACTGGGACAAGACAAGCGCCAAAACAGCCAAAACTTGCTCTTGATTTTAGTCAATGCAAACACCTGATAGACTTTTGCTTTGGATATATTTAGTTTATATTTTACTGAACTGATGGACGGTATTAGAGTTTTTAACACACCCAAATTAAGCCTAAGAGCTTTAATCTCTCTGTGTCTTTCAGTTTATTGACAAGGGAAGAAGATAGAAGATAGAAGCCCTCATTTCACACATATTAAGTCCGTTGTGACTGAACAAGGTGTCTCATAACCATTTTTTTGCAATATCTTTCTGAGCTGAAGGCCTTGCCTTGTATTTCACATGCAGAGAGTATAGTGCAAAAAGCAATGTCAATAGTATCCCCGAGTTCAAAATTCCTTTTGGAAATATCCATTCATTAAGGAAAAGAAGATTAACTGGGTCCCTGTTTAAAATTCGGCCCTCTAAAAGAGTACCAAAGCAACACCTTGTCCCACTCAGTGAATAAATGCAAAGAAATTGTGCACCCTAGTTTTACAATATCTATTTATCAGACCACGCTTGGCTGAATCTCTGGGTGAGCAGATTGGACCATAACCCTGCTGTCTGCACTTGTGGACTGACATTATCTGATAGGTATTTGCCTGAGGACATAGCACAGATCCACTGATGTAGGACGAATATCCACAACAATTACTTGCACCTCCCACAGATTATTTCCGTATATTTCTGAGCTCAGTATTTACATCTGAGATATGCATACCTCGTTAATAATGGCACAGTCCATATCTACCTTTGACACAAAATTGCCAGGAGGGGAACGCATTACCAGCACTACAATGCACAGCTGTTCTTTATCTGTACTTTCTATTATGTGTGCCACGATATCCTTACAACTTTCTCTGTATGACATAGATGAATAACAGACACATTATACCTACCAAGAAAATTAATGGACTTTTTATACTGCAACTTTTTTCATAATACTGAGCATTAAGAATACAAAGAAAAAATCTATTGTCTATGTTGAAAAAAAAAAGTTTCAATTAATATAACTGTGTTTGTTCAGAGCAAACTCTGGCTTACGGAATGATCTTACCAACTGTTACAGTAATTACTAATATTAGCTTTCACATTAGGATTTTTATTGTTAAAAATTTTTTTGTGCTAATTTGTTAAAATCTACAGCCCATGCAATATGTTGGTTTGGAAAAGGAAACAACAGCTGATTTACATAAGCAAAAACCAGCATGTGACACAGCACATGTTCCTTGCCTTCCCCAAGTGCTATAGAACATAATGACGATATTTATAAATGTGAATATAAATAAGACAAAACTCCTAAAATCTTTTAAAATGTCTGACAAATCCTTTCTGTTCTAAGTATCAAAGATAGCATCAACAGCTAGACATTTTCCAATACCCTGACACCACAGAATGTTCTACGTACGTAAAGACTCTGCTTTGTATCCCTTAATTCTGTGATCAAATCCTACTGAAATTGCTCCCATGTCATAAAGTCTTTCGGATTGGGTCCTAAGCTGGCATTTGCTGTATAAAGATATCAGACTTTTTAATAGCAGAAAGTATCTTGAATTTAGATCACTCATATATTTAATAGCGGGATTTGCCAGACCATCACTGAGGACACTAATTCATCTTGTCGTTGCTGCTTGGTCTTCTTGTTCACTCTTCTGTGTCCTTGACCACCAGAAATGACTAATACTGAACTTGCTTTCATTTTCTTGGATCTCTGTCTTTTATTTTTAAAAGAGATATTTTGATCCTTCAAAAGCTCATAAATGTTACTGTCCTCTGGCCTATGCTCTAGGGAACTTGATGTAAGGGATCCAGAAGATGAAGACAAGTCACTTTTTTGTGCAATGGATCCTGCTGAACCTCCCAGCCAAACTGAAGTATCAGGGTTGCTGCTATTGGAAGAGCCTGGTCTGTCACTGTGCAGAACATTCCTCTGATCTTTGTCTTTAGATTCTGAGCCACGAGGCAGGCTGTTCCTTAGCTTGTTTTTGTTTTTCTTGTTTATAGATGTAGCCATTACAAGAAACTTGACCGGCCCATTGTGCGCGTGATACGACACCATTCCTCTCCCTGCAGCCAAAAGAAAAGACGACAATATCTTAATTACAGCACTCCACAATATTTACTTTGTTAAATTTGCTTAGGAATGCATAACTCTTAAAATCCTGTTATATGCATTCAGTCCATCCACAGACTGTCTATTTCCTTGTACATAAACAATTTAAAGAAAAGTGTAGGAAAAAAAATTATCTATCGCGCCATAAGGATGTTTTAGGACTGTGTCAATAAACCAGTTGGAACACAACAGAATGAATTCAAGTTGACTTGTGCTGTGTTTAGGCAGCATGAATACAGACATTTTCTGCTAACTTTTTTTTGGCATTGACACAAAAATAACATTCTGAGTTTTCTACAGTAACCCACAAAGAAAATATGTGGTTTTCAGTTAATCCTACCGTGCCCCTGTACCATTCTAGAAAAGCATATGAACATCTCTTTCATTGCAATACTTGCTAGTAGTACAAGGAAAAATTACACATGAAAATCATAAGAATATATGAGAAACAAATTGCATAATGCCAAATGCAGAAGCTCTAGCAACATCAGTGTATGGGGCTCTTACAGCAAGAAAAAAAAGCATAGCATTATACAAAATCACCTATAAGATGAAAAGAAGTTAGGTTATCAAAGAAAAGAAACCACTACTCTACAAGTCACCCCATCCATCCCTAACTCCCTAATACATTCCAGGTTATGATTAAAAAAAAAAAAATCTACTTTTGCAGAAAGTGCAATGGCATAAAGATGAATTATCAGGACTGAAAGCACAAGTGAGAAAAGTGCAACTTTTTTTTTTTTTTTTTTTTGTTCAAATTCTAAATACTTGTATTGCATTTATTTTTACCTACTATTGCTTCCATAACTTCTAAGAAACATTTGTCATATGTAGGGGCCTATGGGGAGGGACTTCTTCTAAAGGCAGGTAGTGGCAGGCTGAGAACAAATGGCTTTAAACTGTAAGAGGATAGATTTACACTAGCTATTAGGAAGAAATTCTTTACTGTGAAGGTGGTGAGACACTGGAACAGGTTGCCCAGTGAGGCTGTGGATGCCACCTCCCTGGAAACATTCAAGGCCAGGCTGGATGGGGCTGTGAGCAACCTGGTCTAGAAGGAGGTGTCCCTGCCTATAGCAAGGAATTGGAACTAGAAGATCTTAAAGGTCCCTTCCAACCCAAACCATTCAGTGATTCCCTGATAATTGCTGCATATGTTGCTGAACACAATTCATTTTCATTCTGAAAAGTTACATATACTTTTTTTTTTTTATCCCTGAAGGAGGTTACAAATAACTTGCCTCATAGAATATGACAGCTTTTCTCCGCAGCTGTAGTAAAATTGTGAAACTGAACTGTAGCATGGCAAAGTAGTACTTAATTGAAATTACATACATTTAAAAAAAAAAAAATCTCACTTCTGCTAGCAGCTTAAACATTTACAAAATGTCAGCAGCATTCCTACGTTTCAAACAAGGCAATATGAAACTAACTTACGAATGCACCAAAATGCAAAAATACTGGTGGTTGTAAAAAAAAAAAATTTTTTATATATATATATATATATGTGTGTGTGTGTGTGTGTGTGTGTGTGTGTGTGTTCTCATATGTTCCAAGTCTCTAGTTTTGGTAAGAGAGGTCACAAAAACAGTGTGCCAAATAACCAGTCAGAGAATGTACTGCATTGTCAGTACCCATGTCTCTAAACCTAATGCATCAACCTTCTCCAAGTATGGAAGAAAGATTCTTTGCAATGCTCTCTCTTCTCATTCTTGTATTTTTTTTTTACTGTACTCTGATAGGATTAATGCCTACCATGTTCTTATTCCATAAAGAAAATTGCTGTCCTGACTCAAACAACTGAGACAAATCCAGATAGGCATGTGAAAATATTTTAATGATAAAGAAGAAGAACAGATAGAATTTCATCACAAAGCCCTGATGAGTACTTCCACAACACACACAGTTTGGCAGAATCATTTGAACTACTGACAGCAAAAAAATCTGCAGCATAACGACATCCTACCAAATCCATTTGAGAAATGTCACTCACCAGTTACTTTGGGAATTCCCTGCAAGCGTGGCACTGGCAATGCTACTATTATCCCCAGATTTGTTCCAACCAGTAATAAGCCATGGCACACCAGCAGACTGGTCACAGAAACACGCTGCTGCCCTGTGAAGTGCAGGAAGTGCTGTATTATTTATGTAATGATCTTTGCCAAGGTCAAAGTAACCTCAAACACACAATCAGCTGTACAGCTGCATTCAGCAAAGCACTCATCAGAAAGGCAAATGCACTGCGGGATTGTATTAAACTTTACATACGTCACAATTTAAATACAGCTGAACTTGCATTATCTGCCCTACATCTCTGAACCACAGTATCTAAACATAGACACACATTACCTTTACAAATATGCTTTTACAAATTTGACCGTGTATGCTCTTAATAATAAAACTGAAAGGCATCCCACTTCCCAGTGCTCAATAACATATTACGACAACACACTATACTTGAGACTCAAACTTGTTCATGATTAATTTTTTCTCATGGTTTTATTTTTGTGAAATAGTATAAGCAGTCCACATTGTCCACAGTATCACATCCACACTGGGGTTCCCCTGTACAACAATGACATTGGCATACTGGGATAAATCCCAGTGAAAGCCTATTAAGATGAACAAGACACTGGGGTAAATAATGCACAAAGAGAGACTGAAAAATACAAGTTGTCTGCACTTAATGTACACAGAAGAGACTTTACTCAGATGTGCTCAGTGACAGGATAATACACCACAGGTCAAATTTGGAACATGACAAATTTGCTTTAAATGTAAGAAAAACCTTCTTCACCATGAAGACAGCCAACCACTAGTTGCTCAGAGAGGTAGCAGAGTATCTCTGCAACTGAACATACTCAAACTTGGACAAGTTCTTAAGCAACCAGATGTAATTTGCCTTGTTTCAAGAAGACAGACAAAATGAACTCAGAAGTCTAGTCTCTGACCTCATACAAATCTCTTCTACTGACAAGATTTTTGTTTTTCTTAGGAAAATAGTCATTTCTGCTTACAGTGCTTGATAAATATTTAATTCTGGGTAGTTGGACTTACTTTCAAAATGCCCTTGACAGGTTGCAGGAATGGAAAATGACAAAAATAATTCCTGCCCAAACTTCTGCCATGATTCCATTTGGAAGCATTTAAACTGTGGTGAAGTCACCCAGGTTCACAGCTTACATGTTCTTGGATTTACAATTAACTTTACATGATAAGAGAGCAGTCATTCCCATCTTTATCATAGCCCTCAAGTTGTTAATCACTTCACCAGTAAGTAGGGAATGTGGATTCCACTTCTGATATAACTTAGATGAACCTACATGTTCCACACCTTGAAAAAATATCTTAATTACGGTACATCACAAATGAATGAATTTTCCATCTCTTCCTTTGAAGCTGGGCCAACTTACAGCTAAGAATGCATGAATCACAGACCCAGTTGGAAAGCAGGGAAGAAGCAGTTTGACTGAAGCCTGAAGGTTAAAGCACTCAACTGGAAAGCAGCAGGTGGACTGCAGTCCAAGTCTTTCTTCACAGAACTCTACAAAACCAAAACATTTATCCAGTAATGGTTTATTGTAAAAGACACATATTACCTGCAGGGCCAGATCTGGATTCTCAGCTTTGACTACCCTAAAACACATTCTAAAATACCTTAAAGGCAATGAGGTCACAGTCAATAGTTGCAATTAGCATGAAAAAGTTTTAGAGCTTCCATCTACTCATGGAGGCCTTCAGTGAGTGTGGTGGTTTCACACGCAGTAGCTAAGCTCTACCATACCACTCCAACTCCTCAAAAGAACAGAGAGAAAATGTGATGAAAAATGCTTGTGGGCTGAGGTAAGGACAGGGAGATCGCTCACCAATTACTGTCATGGCCACATAAGGAATAATCAGCATGAGGGAAATTAATTTAATTTTTGCTTACTAATAACAGACTAGAAGAGAGCCACCTATGGTTTTTCCATAAACTGTCATTATTCCTTTTTGTATGATGGCACTATCCCTCTTCAGGTAGATAAGCATACATGGTTTATGCCCTTAGACAAATTATTAACCTTTATTTATTTATTTTATGAGATTAATTTAGTTTCCAAAGCAAAGCACACAAGAACACTCCTTCAACACTGGTTAGTTAGATGGACAGTCCTCTGGGGAGGCACAGATTTCTACTTCTGGAGAGAGAGCAGTCAAGCGACCACACACTGTCCAAAAACACATCAAAACCCACAGTGATGACATGTGGCAGCCTTGAAAGAAAAACAGTAATGCACAATAAAAGTCTGCTTGTGCTGTTTTCAAAGCCGTACATACAACATGTGACAACCATTTGTCTTCCTCAATCATTTGCTAATACAGATTTTACATTTACCTTTATAACAGGTCAAAACAAGTTCAAATGTGGATGTTCAACAACCTCTGCATATTGGAGTCGTCAAAAATCAAGATTTGAACTTTGTGATTTAGAGTTCAGATCTGCTCAGGCTACATACACACGATATTTAAGATCTCCCACAACCTGTGTCACAGCAAACACAAGGTAAACTGCAGGTTGGCCTAATCTCACTCCATTTCACTTACAGTTGTTTTACGAAGTGCAAAGAGAAATATTAAAGTGCAATTTTCAAGTTTTTTTAACTGTGAAACACATCAGTTTTACTTCTGCCTGTCAAAGCCTTTGAAGAAGATGCTCACATTTCTAACAATAGATCTTTAATATCTTTTCAACTGTTTAAAATGTAAAAATAATATGCATGACTCTATACACCAACCCTGAAACTACGTACAACTACTAATTGTTCCCAGTGAAAACCAGTAATGCTCCTCACTGTTTCTGTAGGCGAGAACAGCAAATTACCAGCCAGCATCTTAGAATCTTAAACATGGAACACAGCCTTAAGCATGAAACATCTACAGTGAGGTCAAAAGGAACGATGTTTGCTTTGAAATCTTTGAAAAGCAGGAAACATCTGCATTTGAAAAAATACTTTGAAATAGCATATAATAACTATAAAAAAAAAAAAAAAAAAAAAAAAGAGAAAATACCATTCAAATAAATAGTAATTTTAAATACTTATTTCTCTGCTACCCAAGGTTTGAACTCCTGCTTTTATTTGTTATTCCTTGACTTTGTATTTGTACAGATTTCAGATCAAGAGAAAAAAGTAAAACCAGTTCTCTACAACTTGTTGAGCAGTAAGCACAGAAATCAACGAGCTAACAGGGGTAAGTCAGAAAAACAAATCCCAAAAACAAACAAAAATTACTTTAAATAGGAAAGCTGCTAGATCACACTGTTCCAGTGCAATGATGGAATTGTCAAAGTCATGAAATAATCTTACCAAGATCTTGAGTCTACCAAGAACTGAAGTCATCAATTAGGCTTACACAAGGACAAATAGTTTTAATATATTTCTGCTTTGTGTTCAGCCTTTCTCAGGTCTCATCTTCTGACTCAGACTCAACCATGTGCTCCCTAGCTACGTGCAAGGACATACCGGTGCATATCCTCTTACATGACCTTGCTCTTCCTGCTATATAAAAAACTGTCTAAAAAAGCAAATCAAATGGGCTGACCTCATATTTTCATGCATCTTTTAATCATTTCTCAGCAGCAAAATCATAAAGCAACTACATTTTATGCTGTGGCATCTGGTGAGGTGGGAACAAAAGGAAACTAAGTCTCAATGTATAGTTTGTTTTCTGCAGAAAGAAAATGATACCATTTTTCTTTGCCTGTCCCATCTGTGTCCAGGAAACACATGTGTGCCATTAGAGCATACATGGAACAGAAATGCTATGGAAAGTAAGCTCACGTTTATTTTTCAGACCTGTGTCCCTACGTACAAACTTCCCACAACTCCAGAAAATCATCAGCTTGAGCACAGAACAGAGTCACTAAGAGTATTAGTTACATCCCTTGTATGTGGACTACCTAGTGACTGAGCACAGCTGAACGACAGCTTGCAGGGACGCAGTTGATAGAGGGTGTTTTAGGATACAGTAGTTATTCAGAACCCACTCAGATGTCTCAGCAGATTAATTGGTCTTTTTATGCCATTTAGCTGACATATTCGACATGAAAATAACCAAAATATGACCTATATCTAGATGGCACTTTTTCAGTCAAGCTCTTTCCTTAGCCAGACCTCTGTGAACACAGTATATAAAACATTTCCACAAATCAATCATGATTTAAAAATATATATATATACTTTTGGCTTGTGGTCCATGGTTCTGTCTCCTTTTTTACATTATTAAATTCCACTGAATCATAATGACAGTAATTTCCTGTGCCAGTTCCTTTATATTTCATTATTCTTTGATTCTCTCCTACTCGGTGGGCTGCTGAGTTATCTTTCTCAAAGTAAAGGAGGCACATCCTTTAGGAAAAAGAAAGTAAGCAGTGATATTAAAAGCTGTCTTCTCCCCGAAATGGAAAAAATCTAACATCATGAGAACTGATTACCAAGGGTATGAAAACTTCCTCTCTGTCTTAATTGATTACTACAAGTACCCTCTAAATATAGCTTTGTAATTCAAGTAGCCTTTCTGACACAGTAACAGCAAATTTGTCTTTTACTTCTACTGTATACCTACAAAATAATGATTATTTCATTATGTAAACAAGTTATGTCCACTGCATTAAGTGAAGATGCAGATGACCTCTCCATGCAGCCTATTAGGCCAATATCACGCATCGCTGCTCCTAGTAAGAACTTGGCAAAAGGAGTCCAGCTTCAAGAAGTTATATAATGATAATCATGCACTCTTCTTTTTAATCTCTCCTCCTAAGATCCTTAGCAATATTTTTACATCAATTTCTTCTGCCTCATTTCAATACAAGCTGAATTTTTACTTACGTGCTCTTTTTGCATATTAAAGAACTCCCACTAGATTTCAGAAAGCTAAGAGTTGTTTCTTTTAAAAAGTAAAAGATGTCCTGTTGCACATCACACTTCTAAACAGTAATCAGTTCATTAAAATCCACAGAAAATGTAAAAAACATGTGCATTTTGTAACTACGAAGCCACTTCATTCTTCCTCCTGTGTCAGATTTTTGTTCCTTTTTAATCTGAGTGTATACTACACAGTTTTATTTATTTTTTTGTTCCAAAAGCTCTTAGTGTTGCTTATTATGTAAACCTCCTACTACTCTGTCTTTTAGCCTTTGCTGGTGTAGCATTATTGGGATAACATAAGCATGCCCAAGAGCTGCTGCTAAATAATTGAAATTCATTTCATTTTTAGAATGGATTCCTCCCTTGGAACATTTGCTGTAACAAAAAGTGCTGTTCTACTTCTAAAATAAATTTCCATTTCCATTCACTGAAGTGCATTTTGGGAAAAGACAGAGGGAAAAAAAAAAAAGAGATTAAAATGGGTAAGAGTGACACCAAGGAGATATAATTAGCTAAAACTGTTCTACAGAAAAAAAATAATCATGTGTTACATCATCAGTTTTATTACCAGGGCTATGAATACCAAAGCTAAATTTGTTTGAAATTAAGCATAAAATGTGTGTAAGGGAGGCTCTACTTCCTCCCCCTTCCCCCACAGACAGTAGAACATTTTGAAAGTTAATCTTTTTAAAAACTGGTCTTGATTTCTTTTCATAACCACAATTAATTAAAGCATACAATCTATTTAAAGACAAGACATTTGCTGCTGGTTTGTAACAGTGCTACAATCAAACAACGTGTTAAAAACATCCTACCTAGAACACTATAGATGGACACGATTTAAAACAGATTTTTACTGCAAGGCTAACATGGTCACTCTCATTTCTCTTACCTGATGCACATGTGCTCATTACAGCATAGGGGAAAGACATCCCCAAACCTTTGTCCATTAGTACTGCATAGGTCTAAGAGTCATATTGGCCTACATCAGTCTGTAATAACATCTGTGCATGGCATTTGAAAAAAGGTGCCAGAAATAAGTTTGTCTCTATTAGGTATGTGTCTAACTACCAGAGTCACTCACTTGTAAATCTGATAGAGACCAGAACAGCTGTCTGTGACACTGATGATCTTAGTATGGTTCAACAGTTTCTGTCTTAAAACACTTAAAGGTTTGTTAAATATCACCCTAACAACCAGAGGTTCTATCTTTGCTTATAATACAAATGTTTTTAATTCAACAAACTAAAGATCTAAATAAGAGAACACTGAACACAACACACTCCTAAACGGAGATGCGAGCAGTTCCACTGACTTCACTATAAGCAACTGACACTAAGCAAGTGCTTTGTTGGGTGGTTCAGATCCTAGGCTGACTGACTCCATCACGTACTTCAATACCAACTTCCAGAAGAAAACACTAAAATTTGCAAAGGAAACACATTTTCATGATAGACTGAATCACTCTCCTGTTTTATAGTCAAAAAAAAAAAAAAAAAAAGGAATCCACCTGCTTATCTATATAATGTAAATTTAAAACCACTGAGGAGAACTGACACTCAACAAGTTCATTGCACATGTCTTTCTTTTGGGCAGACAAAGGACTGTGATTTACTAAAGTAAACAGTCACGCGATAGCTATCAAAGACTGAAACAGATGTTCTGATTCTGGCCTTATCTACAATCTGGAAAATAACAGTGATAGAGACAAAACAAAACAGTTGGTTTTTTTTTGTCATATGGTGTGATTCAGCTACCTGGCAACATATTGTGAACAGGCGTGGCAATGTTAACATCCTGGAGGTGTTTCAGTGTCTCAGTGTGGAACAAACGAAGCGTAGATCCAGATGTGAAAGCAATCCAGACTCCCACTCCAGCAACAGCCATGTGAGAGATTACCATACCTTCCTCTTGATGTGCCTCAAAATGGTTCTGTAAGAAAAACAAATAATCTTGGAGGAAATGTTACATCATTCAACCTTCATTATCAGCTTCTCAGTACAGGCACTGTGTCTATGTCCTCCATGCCAACAACAAAGCTCATTTTCTTTGCTTTGCTCAGGATATGTCCTGACTGCTTCATAAGATTTGTTATTTTCTATGCTCCCTTTTTTTTTTAAACAGATATATATGAATGCATACAATAAGGTGATGCACAAGCAATTGCTCACCACCTCCGACTGATGTCCAGCCAGAACCCCAAGCAGAGGAAAGGAGAGATGAACTCTGAACGCTTTCAAAACTCTTTCTGCATGATGTCACATGGGATGGATTATCCCTTTGGCCAGCTTAAGCTAACTGTCTTAATCCTGTTCCATCCCAGCTCCTTGGGCCCTTTGCACCATCCCAGACACTAAAGAAAGAAATTCCAACCTAGCTGAAGCTAAAACAAAAAGTCAAAATGCTCCTTCTGATGACAAATAACTATGCCAGACTTTCAGATCTAGTGCCTGAATTTTCTTCCTTGATCTAATGTCTTCATAGTTACAACTTCTAAATAGCTTTAGGAAGGCTGAAACTTCTCTACATATTTCTGTTAACATGTGAAATAAAATTGCAGTAAAGGTCTCTAATCATTAAGAGGAAGTAGCAATATTTTGGTTTCATTTTTTCTTCTAAGTAAGCAGCCTATGAAGTTAAACACAGCCTTTTAATGTTGTGCCAGCTATTATCAAATGCAGAGGGCTAATCTGATAAACATAACATTTCCCCAGCTAAATAAATGGCAAACTGTTCTTTGAATACAAACCCCTCCCAGAGGGATATAGGAAGTAAATATCTGCAGTAATATTCACAGTTCTTATTATATACTCTTAACTATATTCATAGATAAAATGCAAGAGTACCTCATCCCTCACTGTAAAAGCACTCTTAGATTTTCTATGCATTAGAATTAAGAGCTACATTTTAGTTACTTTGCATCCCAGTTTAAATAACACAATTCTAAGGATAAGCTCTTAGCCTAACACAAGTATATTTTGAGCATATTTGCGTTATGCAGTTCAATTTCTTCAACTAAATTCAATGAATAGATGAAGATCATAAATAAGAATAGAACTCAAAGCTTTCACAAAATATAACTTCTGATACCTTACTTAGAGGTCCTTAAGTAATAAAGTATGAAAAGCAAATTCACAACGGATAATAATTCATAAACTACTACTTTCCACCACAAAATTGGCTTCTTACAAATAAGGGAAATTACTTCAAAAAATTGTTTACATTTTTCTTTTAACGTTCAGTTATAAAAACTTCTCAGGCCACTGAAGTGAATCCTGCTAGCAATCCACACTGTTTGGAGTAAGAGAAAAATGAAGCTGATCATAAAAAATTAATTTTCTCTGGTTTTCTGACCACAGACAACAATTGTGTGAGTGCAACTGTAAACAACTTCCACAGGCATTTTTGTCACATTCCATTTTTGCCAGCTAACTTGTTATACTCCCACTTTGTCTATCCTGCAGTTGGTACAGCTGCTTGTTGAAATGTTTCAAGAAAAACTGTAATACTGTCAGCACCACAAAAAGCCTACAAAAAGAACTATTCTTCACTTTCAAAGATGGAACAGGAACATACCCAAACCTGAACATTCTTTTGCAATTGCTTATGTTTTTGTATCGAGGCTTTGACATCTGTTTCAATTACACATTTATGTGAAACACAATTTTTTTTCCAAGATTTTTTTCTTCTCATGAAATACAATTATTAAAGGACAAAAATGGCTTATTCTCTTTTTAAATAAAGGAATTGAGCTTCATTCCATTTTACTCTTCATAACTTCATTCCTTTCTGCCTTCTATTCAGATCCTTTTTCTTGTTTGTTTTTGTTTTTCTCAGACAGTCTTGTTCTAATTCTATGGCAACATCACAGAGGCAGAACACTTTCTGGATGCCACAGCGAGTCTGTCTTGCAGTAGAGTTACACATAACTAACTATTGTTTCAACAGCGTGTGGCATTGCTGAAATCTTTCTTTTGAAGGGTTGCCCACTCATACCAAACAGCTGTGCCAAGAACTCAACTGCAGTTTTTCAAGCTTAATGAGAGATGCATAATGAGCATCATCACTCACAAGGTAAAACAAATTACTCACTACTTTTAAAAAAGTGCAATACTTGGGCAAAATACACTCAGGTATAGGATTTTCACTTGTTCGGTTTATCCAGCTGAACATTTCAGCTTATTCTACATCCATTATTAAAACAAGAATTGCTCATGTATGGTTAGCCAATTATTTAAAAACAAGACAAACCAAAACAAGATGTAATAACATTCAATTGGTGACTTTACTAAATTCTCTGGCTCTTTTCACAGTTGTTTTTAAACAAGCACAGCCTGCCTTTGCAGAGCCTAAGGGTCTACAAGCACAGAGAATACTCCAGGATCAAGGTTAATACTCGAAAGCTCACAGATCTAGGATCAAGACTAAGGACAAGTTTCTTCTTCTTAGAAAGAGTATCAGAAAATGCAATTAATATTTAACAACAGTTGTTGCATTTCACACATGTCCCATCCCAAGGGGCTTGAGGCATTGATGACAAAACTGTTTCCAGAAATGAGGGTGACCTCATTGCAGCCTTTCAGTACCTAAAGGAGCCTACAAACAGGAGGGGAATCAACTCTTTGAAAGAGTAGATAACAGTAGGACAAGGGGAAATGACTTTTAAGTTGAAGGAGGGAAGATTTAGGTTGGATATCAGGGGGAAGTTCTTTATAGAGAGAGTGGTGAGGTGCTGGAACAGGCTGCCCAGAGAGGTTGTGGATGCCCCATCCCTGGAGGTGTTCAAGGCCAGATTGGATGGGGCCCTGGGCAGCCTGGTCTGGTATTAAATGGGGAGGTTGGTGGCCCTGCATGTGGCAGGGGGGTTGGAGATTCATGATCCTTGAGGTCCCTTCCAACCCTGGCCATTCTGTGATTCTGTGAATTGTTTTATCCAAGACCAAGAAAAAACAAAACAAAACAAAACAAAACAAAACAAACAAAAAAAAAAGAGTTGCATAAAGGAAAGACTAAGAGTTGAAGAGATGATTAATATGCAGAAATTATGAAACCAAATCTTTACTACTAAGTGTTAAAATTACTTACCTGTTAACAGGAGAGGACAGAGGGAGAATAAACATTTATTTGCTGCTATTTATCTCCCAACAGGAAAACTTACACTCTGCATGGTAAGAAAGACGTATCTCAAATATATTTTGGTTCTCATGACAGTAAAATATGCACCTTTGAAGCAGAGTCTAAATTTCATGGAGTCACAGAATCACCAAGGTTGCATAAGACCACCAACACCATCCAGTCCAAACATCCACCTACCACCAACACTGCCTCATAAACCATGTCCCCTAATACAACACCTACGCACTTCTTGAACTGGCTCTAGGGACAGTGACTCAACCACCTCCCTGAACAGCCTGCCCCAGTGTCTGACCACTCTTCTCAGGAAGAAATTTTTCCTAATATCCAACCTGAACCTCCACTGGCACAACTTGAGGCCATTCCTTCTAGCCCTCTCACTAGTTATGTGGGAGAAGAGGCTGACCCCCAGCTCACCAAATCTCTTTTCAGAGAGTTTGTTGAGATCGATGAGGTCTCCCTGAGTTTTCTTCAGACTAAACAATCCCAGTTCCCTCAGCCAGTCCTCAGAAGACTCGTTCTCCAGACCTTTAGGTTAGTGAGCTGTTTAGTCTGGTGAGATGATGAAAACAAGATTGGTACCTGTATCTTAGAATCAGTAAAGAGGCAACAGAAATTTATCACTTATTTGCAGGTCTATGAGGAAGACCATATGTTATAGCATAGCTATTTGTCTGAAATAAGCATGAATGTCAGCCCATCATGGAAAAATTAATCACATTCTTAATTAAAACTATGTTATGAAAAGCATTATTCAACTCAGACAAACCATTTTTGCACTATTTCAAATATAACTATATATAGCTATAAAAGTAAGTGCATCTGATCTCTATAAACAATGGGTGGATTGGTTTAAAAAGCACTTTGGAAATGGAAAGAAACCTCCTACGATCTGAAAAATGAAATTACTAGGTCTGAGAGAGAGTGACAGAATATTTATTTTACCTCTCTGAACTTCTGCTTTCTCTACTATAATTCACTATTTCTCTACTATAATTCACTATTTCATTAAGCTTTATATATTCTTTAGTCCTCAAAGTCTGTCTCCTGCTTTTGTTCTGCTGTGCCAAAACTGCATAGCATAATCCAAACTTTATCCAAAAACATCTATGAAGAATTTTATTATTGAATTAGTTGAGAACTACCAAACTTATTTACAGTGATTTGGCCTTATATAGCCAAATTCAGGAATGATCTGATTGTGCTCTACTACTGTTGCTATGTATTTTTCAGTAGGAATCAATGAGAGTCATAGAATCACAGAATGGCCTGGGCTGAAAAGGACCACAGTGATCATCTAGTTTCAATCCCCCTGCTATGTGGAAGGTTGCCAACCACTAGACCAGGCTGCCAAGAGCCACATCCAGCCTGGTTAAAGGAACCATCACAGAACTGTTTAGGACAGTAATTCTAAGTGTCCAAGAGGCTAATCCACTCCCAGTTAACCCCCAGTTAAGGTAGCTGGAAATCCATCACAAGTACCTATCCAAATCCCGCTCAAAATCTTTCCCTTATTGTAATACCCAAGCTAGAAACAATATAAGCATTGGAGAAAATACAAAGGAAGAAAACATAAGGTTCAAACATTTACTTAGATGAAGCAAGTAATCCAGAAAGCTCAGATACAAAAAACAAAAAACAAAACAAAACAAAAAAAAAAAAACAAGAAGAAATTAGAACATTCACTATTTCCCTTCAAACCCATGACAGTGACTCACAGAATCAATTGTACTAAACAGACAATTGGTGGGAGAAAACATGATCATCAATGAAACAAAACAAAGCACACAATGAAGGAGGCCGTGATCTCACGCAGATTCCCGTTTGAAAGAATTTTGTGGCTGTAAACATCGTGGCACTCACTGTAATTCTATCACAGATTGAAGGAGAGGTGTTAATTCCTCATATTTTGTAAAATAAACTTTAGGCCACTAAGATGTTCTGTTGATGTTATACTGCAGTTTTAATGGAAATTGAGGTCTTACACTTTTTGGAAAACATGGTTGTAAGCAGAGTCGGAATCCTTAACATTTTTCTGCTCTTCTACATGAAGAACATTTCTGTAGGCCACTGAGAACCAAAACTGATACAAATTATATTAGAAATTAGAAGTCACATTTCACTATGCAGAGACAGTCTCTTTCAATTTAAGTTTTCTGTAGTTAACAGGTAATTCCTACATCTTGTTTCTTTGCTGCCCTTCCCTCTATTCAAATCTAATTTTTAAGCAAACCCCCCAAATATCCTACAAGTACTTTATGGAAACATGGCAGGGAAACAGAAGCAAATCTGCATGTAATCAGACAACAGCAGAGAACATTCCAGTAAAGTTTCAGACTGCAGAGACTGGGATTTAACAGAACTGAAACCACAGTTCATGAAAGCCTTCCTAAATCATGAAGCCTCTAAGAAGAGATTTTAATGTCTAGATTTTATCACTTTTACCTTGCAGCATAGTGTAGTATGTGAATAATTATTAATTTTAAACACATTACCTCTATAAAATGAGTCACTATGCTGATTATAAAAATTTGTCCACCACATGCAGCCCAAATGGTATCTTCCATCACAAGCAGACTTCTAACAGGCAGAACCCCCAGTTTAACTGTCTTCTGAGGTTCCGTGTTCCATGTTCCATCTTTAAGAAAAAAAGAATAAGAAAGACTGTAACACAATAAATAAAATTGCAATCCATGTTTAAAAAAACTTCTGAAAGCACTGATCAAGAAGCACCTAGAAATGCAGCTGCACAAAGAACGGCCGTAGTGATATCACAGAGCCTACCATTCAGATCTTCATGAATGGCCACTTCAAGCTGCACTCTGATTTACATCTGTTTAATTTTAGCTTTTATGGATAGCTTGTAAAGGTAATACAACAATAAAGGGGAAAAAATGCTTATCTATTTCTTAACTGAACCATTTTTATCAGGATTAACTAGTAAACAAGTAAGTCCACATTGCTGTTCTCATGTAATTGTTTTTCTTCCCAAAGAAAATGCGGTCAGAAAGCCACTATTCTCCAGAAAGCAGTACTCTCAGAAGGCAGTATTCTACAGCTCAGGGGCTCACAAGAAAACTATTTCACAATAAATCAACTTTCAACTGGTCAGAATCACATTTCATGTGAAAAGTAGCCAGCCAGTTCTTTACAGTAGGTTCTAATGAGCTCCAATAACTCTCTAACTCTGCAAACTGATGTAAGGGACTTTCTGCTAGTAGATGCTTCATAAAACGAGGGGGGAAGGGGCTTGTTTATTTGTTTTGGTAGTTGTCGTTTTAATTACAACTGAGTGCTCTGCCATATTTTTACTTAGTTTCTATTATTCCCCTGTCCTGGTTTTGGCTGGAATGCAGTTGATTTTCTTCACAGTGGCTGGCGTGGTGCCACGTTTTGGATTTAGGATGGGAATAACGTTGACAACGCAGAGATGTTTCAGTTGTTGTAGAGCAGTGCTGCAACAGAGCTGATGATGTTTCAGCTTCTGGTGCTGCCCACAGTGAGGGGACTGAAGGTGCACAGGGAGCTGGGATGGGACAGAACTTGGACAGCTGACCCATATGAGTCTAAGGAATATTCCATAACATATGGTGAGACGCTGAACAATAAAACTGGGGGAGCTGGCCAAGATGAGGGGTGCTACTGCTCAGGGACTAGTTCAGTTATGCATTAGTCAGTAGGTAGTGAGAAACTGCTTCTGCTTATTCTTTTTTTTTTTTTTTTTCTTCTTCCTTTTCTTTGTCCTTGTCCTCTCCACCCATCGGTTCTTGAACTTTTCCATTTTCTCCCCATCATATTACGTGCAAGGGGGGTGAACGAACGGTCACTGGTGTTTAGCAGCCTCTGCTGAGTTAAACTTCAACATCCCCCCAGTGATAATCCATGGTATTTTCTGTCCACAGAAAATTTCTGTGCATTGAACAGGTCCAAATTACACCATGCACACGCACACTGCATAATCAGTTATTGAGACCTTCTAAAAAAGCTGCATGCCACCACATACCTCTCTAGTCACTTTCATTTGCCATCTCTTTTCAACTAGGATGAGCAGATTATTCTCTCCAAGTTTAACAGCCAGGGACACAAATCTTACATATATAATTTTTTATATACAAAACTGAATAATCATTTTAATACTTTCATGAGTTTATTCTGGGGAGGAATAATTGCATGCACCGGCACAGGTTGGGGGGTGACCTGCTGGAGAGAAGCTCAGCATAGAGGGACCTGGGTGTCCTGGTGGACAACAGGTTGGCCATGAGCCAGCAGTGTGCCCTTGGGGCCAAGAGAGCCAATGGCATTCTGGGGTGCATCAAAAAGAGCGTGGCCAGCAGGTCGAGGGAGGTGATCCTCCCCCTCTACTCTGCCCTGGTAAGGCCTCATCTGGAGTACTGCGTCCAGTTCTGGGCTCCAGTACAAAAAAGACAGGGATCTCTTGGAAAGAGTCCAGCGGAGGGCCACAAAGATGGTGAAGGGCCTGGAGCATCTCTCCTATGAGGAAAGGCTGAGTGAAATGGGTCTGTTCAGTCTTGAGAAAAGAAGACTGAGAGGGGACCTGATCCAGGTCTATAAATATCTAAGGTGTGGGGGGCAGAGTGGTGAGTGGAGACAGGACAAGGGGAAACGGCCGGAAACTGCAGCATAGGAAGTTCCGCACAAACATGCGCAAGAACTTCTTTACAGTGAGGTGACGGAGCACTGGAACAGGCTGCCCAGGGAGGTGGTGGAGTCTCCTTCTCTGGAGATGTTCAAGTCTCGCCTGGATGCCTACCTGTGCGACCTGCTGTGGGGAACCTGCTTTGGCAGGGGGGTTGGACTCGATGATCTCTGGAGGTCCCTTCCAACCCCTACAATTCTGTGATTCTGTGATTTCTGTAGCATGAACTCACTGAGCATCTCAAATCCTACCTTCTGTCCTTTGTTTAGTATCAAAATCTGTTCCATCTGATTTTATGTTGAGACTAAATGGTCCCAATTCCTCACTTGAAAGCCCTTTAATCTACATAAACTGAAGAAATGTTGCTTACATTACATTACTTACATTACTGCTTCACAATAGCAGTGGTAACAGCAATAATGATGTCTCTGCTTTGGAATACTTGTGATTGCTTCTGCCGTCTGCGTTATACAGTCTTTGCCGAGTCATTCTCAGGATGTGACTGAGTTCTCAAAGCATCTTTGTGAAAAATGGCATTCAGTTTCAGACTGTCAAAATCATTTTCACGATTTCAGTTGGCAAGAGAGAAGCATGTCTCCAATCATTACCCTGCAAGCTCTCCCAGCAATGTCAGTCACTCAACCTTCACAACCCATGTTTACCATTAGTAATAAAGTAACTTCTGGAAAAGTTTGCGTTTGATAGAAATCACATTACTCTGAAATTAAATTGTTAACTGCAAGCTGCCCACACCCTGAGAATGCTGTCAAGTGCAAAGCCTTCCAAGAATAAAGCTGCACATGCATGTTTATCCTGGTTTTCACTGCCTAAGTTATACACAGTAAAGAGACCACTGCAGCACCTAGTACGTAGCACCCCCAGATTTCCTTTTTAAGGGATGAAACCAGCATAATTCCCATATATTCATATTGTCTCTTCTGAAGGATAAAGACTGAATTTGAACAGAGAACAAGCACGCTGAGGAAGAAGTTATCTTTTTCTCCTGTAGTTACACTTTCCACACTCAACACCACATTACAGAGAAAACTGTTGATTGAACTCAATAGCTCTCAAACGCATTCAATCATTAATCTGTACCTAATTCATAGTTGATTCTCAAGGAACAAGCGAGCTGGGATTTTCAAGATCTCAACCTGACTCTAAGACTTCAACTTTAAATTTCATTTCATTCACCTAAGGCACTTTTTGATTGTGTGTCTTAATGCCCTCAAATTCTGTGCAACTCCTCAGCTAAATGTTAATCTACTTCATTAATTTTGATCTAGTCTTTTTAAAAATTATTATCTAGCATTCGTAGCAGTCTGAATGAAAAGGATAATCAGTATCAGTGCCAGGTGGATGTCAATTTTGAAAGAAAATTGCTAAAACAATTTTCTACAAGGTAAGAAGATGGAGTTCAGATGTCACTGTTGAATACCAATATTTAGAATTTTGATTTGACAAATATATATCAAAACTCACCTCTCACAAACACATCTTCAGTACAACACTTTAACCAACCCAGTTAGTCTTAAGATTACAGAGTGGAAAAAAAAAAGGAAAAAAATTGAGATAGAGACTGGAAGTCTTTTCTGTTACCATGACTTTATGCAAAGGAAAGGCAATCCCACTTGATATCATGCTGGGAAAAATCTGGATCTCAGTATCATGTTATCTACAAACCCTCACCATGTGTTAAGGACATGCTGTTGTACTTTTATTTCTTTCTGTAGCCATTGCTGTCCTCCTGATCAGACAGCATCTGAGACAGATGAGGGAAAAAGAGGGCACGGAGAAGACTCTCTAGTCTGGTAATGAGGGCAGTATTTAAATGAGCTGTGTTCTTGTCTCTGCCACAATTAATGCTTAATTAATCATACAGAGCAGGGATAATACCAGAAGGAAAAATCAAGCAGTGCTTCCCTCTCTTTATTTTGTGGTGGCCAGGAAAATGGAAATCTCTTGAGAACTGGAAGCATGAGTACTAATCTTCTCAAGCAAGGCAAGGGATTAAGTCTGGTAATCCAACACGCTTCTGAGAATGCTGTAACCACAAGCTCTCAGCTAAAAGCAAGGTCAGGACTTTATTTTGCTGATCAAGATTTTTTTTTTCCCCTCCATAGCCAAAATTACTTAACAAGTCTGAATCTAGTTCACAAATTGTTTCAAGACTGTCAGAATCACACACTCTGCTTCTCCCTCCAGACCTCACAAGACCCTATTCAATACCTGCCTGCACAGATTTCATGTTTATGTAAACAGCTGCAGGTTCACACACAGTGCAACAACTTAATTGGCACTACTTATCTACTTAAAACTGGGTGCAGCCCTTGCAAAAGATATGAAAAGCTTTCATTTGAAGTTATAAATATTTGGTCAGTCACTCAAGTCATATATTGATTTCCTTGTAAGGAAAATTAAAAAAAAAAAAAAGAAAAAGAAAAAAAAGCAAGAAAGAGTAGCTGAAATAAAACTTTTATCAGCAAAAAATTAAAGCACACAACAGGACAAAGGCAGACCAAGAAGCTTAGTGTAACTTACTGTAGAGTTTTCTAAACTGTTTTGTGAAAAGCAGGAACTGATCAAAAGAAAAATAAGTAATGGAGGTGTACACATTGCTGCTCACAGAAACCTGGCAGTAGAATGCCTGTGACAGCGTCCACAGAAATGGGGCTTAAAATTCTTCTCTACTGATACCTTGTTTCTGTTCTCTTTAATCTTGAGTAGATTTTCTGGATTTCCTCTTTCTCCAGTGTACTGAAAAACTACAAACTCTTTTTTACCTACAAGTATACAGATACTGTAGAGAGACAATATGCAGTACATACATCCTATCTCCAGAGGCTTGTCTGCATGCAGAAAAATCAGTTGCACCCTGAGCAAATAGAAGATCAAGGCCTGACAACTGTGGAAATGGGAAGAAACAGGGAAAAGGTTTCCTTCTACTCCATAAGAAAAGCCTGTGAAAGTATTAACTATAC